CAGTTTGTTCTTGACCATGATAATTTAATTTGGTTTCGCGTCTTAAAATTTTTTTACTTTGATTCCTTTTTCATTCCAATAATCTTCATTATTTGAATAGCATGACTTCCTGTGCAGGATTTGGGTTGTTGATCTGACATAGTAAAAGAACTTATCGTTATAAAAAAGTTGTTGATTTAATGTGCTAATAATCAAAGAAAAGGAATTCAATATAAAGTAGTATAAAACTATAAACAAAATCCATAAAAATTTTAAGCAATAACAGCACAGCAGTAACGATGATAGAAGAAAAAATTTTTTGATTTGTAATCAAAATTGCCAATAATCAAATCCGAATCACATAATCACATGTACCCGGCAGATCTGTTCGGCTACCATTTTTTGAGGGTGACGCTAGGGTCGTTCCCATGGGACCATGAAATCACGTGCGACCAATCATTACCCAATACATATTACGCCCAAATGCTATATTTAAATATAAAATGTATTACTCGACATAGGTTTCGTTATAAGTTTCATCATAAGTTTTGTCATTCGTCATTAGTTACATCATTCGTCATTCCGTCAACTTGAAGTCACCTGACGAAACCATTTTGTCATTCATCAACCATCTTTACTCAGTATCATATAATTCATATAATAAATATAAAGATTATATGAGTGCCGCCAAGAGAAAATCTGACCTCGTCAATTATACTGTAGTTAATTATTCATTATCAGCTCTAATCCTAATATGTATATGATATGTAATTAAAATGAGTGCCACAAAAAAAACCAGACTTTGGCTTTCAAATATATTTGAAAGCCTGAAGTTTTTGTAGCAATCATTTATCACGTATCATATATATATCAGTATATCTTGGATCAAGCTGAATCTAGCTAATAACAAATAATTAACTATAACTGACAGGATCAGGTTTTCCCTTAGCGTCACTAATATATGCTTAGTGCTTAAGATAGATCCAGATTGGATCTGGATCGGATTCGAATCTACTAAATACGGATCCGAATCTTTACTTGGATTCGATTTGATTTTTCAGAACGGATCTGGATCTTTAGAAATATTCGTTAGATCCGGTTCATGCGGAACACTAGATCAAAGTATATACAAATTTGTAAATACAAATCTTAATAAAGATCAATAGCAAGGCTGCCAAAGAGAAAAAAAAAAAAAAAGGTTAACAATCTGACCACTTTACTAGGTTGCCACATCTCTTATTATTTTTTTATTCAAAATTTTCAAGTAGACTTTTATTTTAGTTTTTTGGATTTTTATATTTAGTAGTCTTATTATAAGTTTATATTAGTTTTTTATATTTCTTTATATATGTAAAACATTATACTTTGCATAAATGCCTTAAGCTTTAATATTAGATAAAATCTAACTTGGTATATCTATTATATGTCAAAATAGAATTATTATGAATTTAGAATCAACTTAAATTAGAATAAAATTTCAAATTTAATATCAAGTTGATTTGAAATTCAATAAAATACAAATTTTTTGTTTTTTTGCAAAAGTTTTTATTTAATAACTAAATCTCAAGATCATTTATTTTTATCTTATAATAAATTCAAAGAACTGGTTTTTAAATATCTTATTACAAATTGGCTTATAGTTGATATTAAACCTTTATAATATGTATAACCTTTTAATTTTTATATTAAGATTTTACAAAATTTAGTAAATACAAGTACAATAATTAAAAAATACTTTTTTGCAAAATTCTTGCAGTTTTGAAGAATAATATATATAGCTTTAGCATTATTAGAATTACTAATAAGTTTTTAAATTAGTATAATTGATATTGAGCCTTTCTATAATAAACTTAAAATTTGCAATTTCACAATAATTTGGTATAAAAAAGCAATGATGAGTTCTTAAGAAACAATTATTTTTTATTACTAACTTATTTTTCTTAATAAATTTAAATATTTAAAAAGTGTCTATTATGCAATCTTCTTTATAAGCAGATAATATTAACAAAAATATTTATAACAAAAATTATTATAAATAAACTTGTGAAGAAAGAAAAGAGAAAGCAAAAGAAAAACAGATTGAAAAAGAAGCACAAAAGACAATTTTAGAGCTTGTTATAAAAGGAAAAAGACCCTTTTATTATAAACTTTAAGTAATCAGATAAGCAACTTACTTTTGCTTAAAGTAATATAGCAGATTGCACTTAGGTACTATTAGAGTAGCTAGGTAATGCTAAACTTAGATGTTAAGGATATTTATATAATTGCAAATGTAATTTCAAAATATTAATAAAGTTCTAACATGACTGCTTAAGATAAAAAATAAATAAATAAAAATAAATAAACTTGTAAGATATAATTTTTATCTTATTAATTAAAAGTACAAGAGCTTCATACAATGCTTGTAAATTTAACTAATAACTAAATCTTATTTTAAAAAGATTAAATTCTAAAACAAGTACTTAATAAAATAATTTGAAATATACTTAATTTTATTGTAAGTTGAATTAGATTTTTTTAACAACTTAGTTATATTTTAAAATTCTATTATAACTTATATTTATTTGAAATTAATTTAAATGCATTCTGAATTTATAACAATTTTATTCTAATATATAACATATTTAATATTACAAATACCTAAATCTAATTGATTTACAAGAAACAGTTATTATGATATAGTTATAATTTCTAAAATTTAACAGCTATAGAATTTAAATACTAGATTTGCTAAATTTTTATCAATACTATATTTACTAAAACACATGTTTATAAAAACTTAAACAATACTATAATAACAAATTATGTACTTTATAAGGTGTGGCAACTTAGTAAAATGGTCAGATTGTTAACCTCCAAGTGATAAGTTGGATGTTCAAATCCTATCAACAATGAAAATTTGAATAATCATCTTTGTAATATTCATATTACAGCAACTGTTACTAATAATTGGATTAGTATACCTGTAATAATGATTGTACCAGTATGACTGGCAGGTTATGGGGCATCTGTGCAATATTGAAGTTACACAGAGAAATGCAACTGACAACTAAGCAGTGCAAACACTAGATAAGTCCTTATGACTATGTAAATCTATTAAAATTAGTAACAAGAAGTTCATTTGAAAAGATCCAAATAGAGAGGTAGCTGAAGCTTTAATAGTGTTACTATAAAGGCTGGTCTAAGAAACAGATACCAAGGTCTTAGTAACTAAACAGACAAGAACTTCTGGGTTTAGAGATACTATTAATTAAACTGCCAGAATAAACTAAAAAAAAATATTGGGCTGATCTAATATACTAATAGACTAGATATACTTCTATACAAGCCATCTAATTGGAAGTCTAACAAAATTTAAGAGTATACTAAAGTACCAAAATTAGATTGTAAAATAGATGCTAAGATTTAAGTAAACTCTACAAAGGCATAGCAGTTTAATAGTTAAGTCCTGACTGCAAGTGTTAGTTTTGCTATAATAATATTTAGATTAGTTATAAAAATAAGTACAAAAGGTTCTGAGAAGTTTACTTTAAGGATAAAATAGTTCTAAGATTAAGATGATGATTTGGGCATCTGAATATAACCTAGTAGGTTAACACAAATTACAGGTTCAGAGGGTTTAAAGTAGAACATTCAAGCAAAAATATTAGATATAGCAATTGGTAAGAAATCTTTAAGCAGACTTCTTAAATAGATAATATAAAAAAGTTATATGTGTAGCCAATTGTACTCTCTTTTGTAGTAGTTTATTAAATTATATTACCAATAAGTCATTAAAAAAAGTCAAAAGACCAAAGAGGTCACTTTAACACTAAAAAAATAAAAAAATCATATATTTCACTTTATTATCAATACTATAACCTACTTATTAAATCATATTAACAATATTCAGTTCCTAATTTATTAATAGATTCTGATTTCTTTAATACTAACAATCTTGATATTTTGGGGTGTGGTGACCTAGTAAAGTGGATAAGTTGTCAACCCCCAAGTGGCAGGTCTAAGGTTCAATTCCCACAGATGACGAATTTTGAAAATTATACCTGTATCATGGTAACTGTCTCTATTAATCAGTTGGGTTTTGGGCATCTGTAATCTTAGGTACACCAAGTTGGGCCCCATCTGACTTTGGAGCTCAGGGCATCTATGTGAAGTACAACATTACATGGTACATGTATATAGAGGAATGTGAAAAACCAGTGTCGTATAAGACTTCGGTGCAAACCTATAATAAGACCCTGAGCGTAGAAGGCTAAAAAACTGAAGAGACAGAAACTCACTTGGAAATCCTGAGTAAAAAGGTAGCACAAACTTTCGATAGTGCTATTGAACTGATGGAAGCCCATGAAACACCTTCATGGGAACTGTTAGATAAACCAGATGACAAAGATGTGTAAAAAAGCATATAACCAACCAGGCTGCAGAATCACCAGAGGAAAAGGATACATAAGTATACCATACTGGGCTTTCTGGATTGGGAGTTTGGGGAGTCGGTTAGTTCTGAGTTGCGGCTAGTAAAGGATGATAGAGAAGAAGTCAGAAAGATGGGTACCAGAGTTTGGGTGAACTTTACAAGAGTAATAGTGGTTTAAAGAATAACCCTAACTGCAAGTGTTGGTTCCGGCCATAGCATTAAAACCAGGTTAGCAGTAAAAGAGAATACAGCTCGCTCTGGTAGGTTTACCTTGAGGATAACTGTCCTATGGTTAAAAGCGAACAGATCTGGGTCTGTGATCTAGTAAAATTAATACTAGGGTTAGATTAGAGTGTTTAAATGGAACATCTAAGCAGGAGTGTTAGGTATGGCAACTGGTAGGGAACCCTTGGGTGGACTCCTTAAATAGGTAATATAGAAAAATTACATGTGTAGCCAGTTGTACACTCATCTAATAGTTCAATATGAATACGTCTGTATAAAACATGTACCTAACATAAGTATTAATAAAAAGCTAATACCAAAGAGGTCACCTTAACACTGAAAAAAAAATACAATCTTGATATTTTTAATTCTATCTCTTTTATATTACATTCACTTACTATAACTAATAATATTTCTTCTCTACAAACATCTCTTATATCTATAATTTCAATTTTTATAAAAATTAGTTTTCTAAATATTAATAGTTTACTTTAATATTTAAAAAGGATTTTACTTATTAATATTATTAATCAACATAACTTTGATATCTTTGAAATATCAGAAACATACCTTACCTCAAAAGAAGAAAAATTTATTAACCAAAATCTTCAAAATGATAAAAGCTTTTAAAGCTTTTATAAAAATCCTTACCAAGCAGATGTTGAAATTTTTATACATAAAAAAATTTTTAAATATATTGCTAGAACACACAATTATAATAGTATATAATTGATTTAGATCTATATTTTAAATATAATTTAATTCATATTCTTCAAATATATCTTCCAAGCTCAAAGAAAAAACAACTATATGCCAAAATTCAAAACCAAATTATTCTACTCTGTAACAATTCTAACTATCAACTCATAATACTCAGTAACTTTAACAGTATTTCAAACACTTGCCAAGATAGAAACTCTTCAAAAAACACCTCCATTTCAGAATTTCAAATTTTCAAATACTTAATTAGTCACCAATTTAAAGATATATATTGACTTTTCTTCCCTATAACATTAAACTTTATATTTTCTTGCTCAACCTCTAATAGCAGAATTAATCAAATATGAACAAACTTAAATATATTTCAAATTGAATATACTAATATACTTGAGAATATTTTATCTAAATTAGATTAAAAAATTATTACTCTTAAAATTTCTATAACTATTAATAAAACAAAATCCTTTAAGCAACATACAAGAAAAAACTTTCTTTGAAAATTCTGCTCCAAGGAAAATATTAAAAATTACTCAAATCAAATATCACAAAGCCTTCACCAATTACATATCCAAATCTCTAACATTTCAAATCAAAATAAAATCAATATAGTTTAAAATAAAATACTTAAAGCACTTATCAAAGCTGCTTTAAAAAACATTCTTTACAAAAACATCAAAACAATTTAGAAAATTAAAGATAACAAATCTTCCAAACAATATGCACTCTTTTATAGATATAAACAGATATAATATTTAAAAAACCATCTACAATTATCCAATCTTTATAATCTTCTAAATGAATACAAAACCAAATACTCTAAAAATCTTATTGATGAACTGCAAACCTTTAACAACTTACATCTTTCAATTAAACAAGAATTTAATTAAATTAAATTAGTATTCAATACTTTTTACTAACAACAAACCCAAAAAGAAATTCAACAAAAATTTGAGGATCACAATCAACTTTTCCAATTACATCCTAAAAAATTCTTTAAAAACATTCTTGAAAAATATAATAGTATATATATTGACAGACTTCTAATTAATAATTCTTTATTAACAGAAGAAGATTATATTAAACAAACTATTTATACTCACTTTACTGAATACTTTAATAAAAAAACTCTTTAACAAATTCAACCTATATCTGATTATTATCAACTATACCAACCTTATCCTGAACTTGAAATATATTATCAAAACTTATTTAGTAATATCTCTAATAAAAATAACAAACTACTATTTAAAAGCTTTTTTATCAAAAAGCTGCAGGTTCTCTTAAAACAAACTATAAACATATTAAATATGCAGGCCTGATTGGTCAAATTTCTCTTAAATTATTTATTAACAAATGTCTTCAACTTTAAAAAATTCTATTTGATTAGAAAACATCTAATATCTTTCTTATTCCAAAAAAATTTAAATAGGACTTTATACTTAATTAAGTTTATCTAATCTCAATTATAGAATCAATGAAAAAATAGTTTACTAAAATCTTTACACAAAGAAACTCAAAAAGTTTAAATAGGGGACTCATAAATAGGTCTCAGATATGGCATCTGGTAGGTAACCTATGAGCAGAACCTATAATTAGATAATAACTAAAGTTATATGTATAACTAGTTGTACTTTTGTTGATAGACTATGTATATTATATGTAATTATATATTACTTAATAAAAGACATGTGGGCAAGATTGCTGCTTCAAACTAAAAAAAATCTTTATACAAAAACTAGATCATATTGTTAATTCTAATAAACTTCTCTCTAATCTTAACTTTGCTGTCACCAAAAACTTTTCAACCTATATTTTCATCCAAATTCTCAACAATACTATTGACTATTATAAACATTTTAACAAAAAAGAGTTGATTTTAGTATAGATAGGCAAATATAATTATTATTTCATTATAATATATATAAATTAACTATTTTGAATTAATTTAAGTAAATTTACAAATAGTTAGGATCAGAGTTAAAGTTATAATATAAATTGGCCTAAATTATATGGGTTTTATATATTATAATTTTGTAATAATTTATATATGCCCATCTATACTAAAAGAAATCCCAAAAAAGCTTGAATAATGTTTTAAAACATGTTTAAAGTCTTTGATAAAATCAACATATCTCAATTACAAAATACTTAAAAAGAATTGGTATTTCTTTTAAAGAAATCCAACTTATTACTGAACTATATACAGACTGATAAACAAAAATAATTATTGCATATAGTCTTACATTATCTGTTCATATTAAAGCAGATATCAAACAAGGTGAAATATACTTTTCTCTTCTTTAAAAAATTTATTATAACCTAATTCTTACTTATATTTATAATAAATACAACAATCATTTACTAAAAATTACTACCTCTTTACTATTCAAGATTATTTTCAATATATTACCTTATTTAATAATTATACCTCTTATGGCTTTCATAGATGACATTGTTTGGCATAATAAAAACTTTAAAACTCTTTGAAATATTCTTAATAATATATAACAATTATACAATCATAACAACATCAAAATTAATTCAACTAAATCTGATTTCTTATATATCTCTTAGAACAAAAACAAACTAAATATTATTATACCAACTCTTTATTACAATAATTAAATAATACCTTTAAGTAAACTATATGAAATTATATAATATTTTAGTATCTACTTTGATGAAAATAGTTTTACTAAACCAACTGTTGAAATGCTTCAAAACAAAATTAAATCTTTCTCTTATTAATTAAATATAAAAAACTTACATCTAAACAAATCTCTACACTCTTTAATATAATATTACAACTATTTTAAGATTATCTTTTACAAATCTTATTTATATCTAAAATACAATAACAAAATCTTTTATAACTACTTTTAATTACAACAAAAAAAATGCTTTACTTAGTAAAAAATACATCTAATATTCTTTTTACAAACTCATTGTTTTTTAAACTTTCAATATTTTAATACTTAACTCAAAAAGTTGCAATATTAACAATTTAATATATTTTCTATTTTATTCTACTTTTTAAATATATTGGTGAAGTCAGAATTGAAAACTAGCTTATTAAAATATGGCAACCACTTTTTTATTCAAATACTATCTCTAAATTTTTACTAAAAACTAAAAATTTTTTCTTTATTTTTCAATTTTTACTTATACATAACTCTAATATTTATCTTTTACTTAATAACTTATTAAATTTATTAACAACTAATATTTCTATAACAACAAAAACAATATATGATATTCTTCTATTTAATACTTTCTCTTCTCTAACAAATAGTTTTTATAATAATAAAAAACTCTTTATTGAACAAATTACAATTGTTAATAACTTATACCTTTTACTTTGGAATAATATATATATATGAACTAAGAAATCTATATATAGACCTACTTCTTTCTAGTTTACCAAGCTTTGTAATCTTATTTATAACCATATCTTAACCTACCTAATACTAATAGCTTTATTAATTTTCTTGATATAATTACATCTTATCACTTATTACTATTAAATCAATGATCTATTCTTCTTAATAATTCTTAAATTCTCTTTATAAAGAATTCACTTAATTTCTTCTCAATTAACAATACTGCTTATAGCTTAATATTCTTAACTTCTACTAACTCACCTATGCCAATATCTCAAATCTTTATTAATATTCCAACTAATAAATTATTAAAAAAAGATAATATCTACTCTTTTTATATTAATAATTATAAAATTTATGAACTTATTAATATATTATAGCAAACTTTTTCACTATTTATACCAACTCAAACTTTAATTATATACATTTCTAAAACAGAAATTCAAATAATACAAAAATAATATCACCTTCTAACTATCAAAATCAACTTATCAAATTATTTTTATTAGCAAAAAATCTTCAAAACAATACTTATTTCTATACAAATACCTCAATTATTAATAGCCAAACATTATATTCTAAAATTGAAATCAAATAGATTTTTGAACACAATATCTAAATCAAATTTAACTGTTCTATTTCTTCATATTCTAACTCTACTCAAACAGAACTTGAAGCAATAATATATCTTTTTCTTATTTTGCCAATAAATTCACAAAATAATATACTTCTGAACAATCTTTCTGCACTTTAAAATACTTAACTATTTTCATCATTATATAAATTCTTTTATATAAAAAATTAAGATATCTTATTTATTATTTATTATCTTATTCTTAATATTTTTTTTACAAAATCAAATCTTATTCTAATAACTCTTTTCACAATCAAGCTGATCTTCTAGCTAAACAAGGTACTACTAAATACCAAATTACATTTAACTTTAAAACAATACTTCTCTCTTACTTTACATGATATAATTATATAATCCCTACTAAAACTCATACCTTTCTCTAAAATACTATAATTATTCAATCAATTCTTACTTGATTATACTTAAATACTTTCAAAATTCACTTTCTATTAAATAGTTTACCAATCTCATTATTATTAATTCATTTAATAATGATTAAAAATTTTATTTATTTTGACTTAAAATTATTAATAACAACTTACCAACTATGCAAAACCTTAATATATGCTATCCTTTATTATACATTACTCCAAATTATATCTATTGTTAATCAATTGATGATATATTTTATCTATTAAGTTGCTCTAAACAAAAATCCAATTTTCAATAAATTTTTTACAACTTAATTACAAATACTGCCCAAGAATTAAATACCTCTACTAAAATTACAAATACTATTTATACTACATTACTTTAGCAATTGTATATGCAAATAATATAATATGGATTGCAAGCAACAAAGAACAATTGTTAAGAATCTTTAAAATTGCAAGAGTTTTTTAAAACTAATAATATTAAAATAAACAGATCCAAATTAAAGTTTATAGTAATAAACATAAGAATTAAAAAGAAAAAAAAAAATTAACTTTGATTAAAGTAAAATAATAAAACAAAAAACAAGATCATAAGATTATTAAAGATTTAACTAAATAGCAGAATAAGAGAAGTGCTAGTCTATAAAAAAGCAAAAAAATAGTTAGTCAAATAGTTAAAGATCTAGATACAAAAATAACAATAAGCCAAGTTGTATATAGGGATGAATCAATTAAAAAAGAACAAATCATTTTTAGTAAAATTTTTTAATTTTTAAATTTAAATAACTTAACAACTATTTAATTAAATTTGCTAAAAATTTTTTATTTTAATCTTGAAATTATATAAAATTAAAATAAAAAAATAATCAAATTTAATAAAATAGTTGTTAAGATATTTAAGCTTAAAGTTAAAAAAAACGTTTACTTAGAAAAAATTTGTTCCTTTTCTATTAACTCCTTTTTATATATAAATAATATGATAATAATTTCTAAGCTAAAATATCTTTTGCAACTAATAAAGATATTAAAAAAAATAATTAACAAAATATATCAACTATTAATATATTTAGTTAAACATAAATACAATATAATAAAAATATTAAACAATTGCATAATAGAGCATAAAGATCTAGAAAATTATAAACTACTAAGTTAAAAAATAACAATAAAGCAAATAAGCAGCCTTTTTTTAAGACTTAATAGGCAAAATAGTTTGGGTGATTTAACAAGACTTGAATAGCTTAAGAATGCCAAAAGGCAGGCTTAACAGAAGACATTTGAAACTATAAAAAAAAAACTAAAATAAAAGAAATATTAAAAAAAGTAATTTAGTTTGCCAAACAATAACTAAAGCAAATCAAAAAAATATTTATAAAAAGTATATATTTATAATAAAAAAATAAGAATATAATATGAACTAAGATATAAATAGTGTGCAGTAATACAATAAATAAATAGAATTGTTATATCTAAACTAGTTTATAGATATAAAAAATAACAATCTAATTACATAAAGACAACTTGAAAGTTTCCAAGAGCTAACATGCAAAGAAAAAAAAGCCAAGTAGTTTAATGAAATAGAAAAAGAGATACTAGTAATACTTACAAGTAGAGTAATATATAATAAATAGTTATAATATATAAACATTAAAGATTAAATAAACAAAAATATCAAAAAATTGAAGCAAACAAGGATGGATTATTTATAAATTAAAACATAATTAGCAATTTAGCAAAATAACCAAAAAAAAAAAAATATTAGCTAAATATTAATTAATATACAGTAGCCAACAAAAGTAATGCCTGATTTTTGATCAAAAAATAAAATTTTGAAAATTTATAATTATACATGAAGTGTATGCTACATGGGTATTAATTTTATTAACATTAATTCTGTAATTTCAAATTCATGTAAAATACCAATCAACCTAATTTTTACAAACAAAAATTAAACCATTGCTTATGCTTAAGGTAAGGGTAGGCTAGGGATTGCGGTGAAGTATAATTATACCAAAATTTTACAAGAAAATTTTTTTGTTAGAAGCAAAATGATGGTTTCATAATCGGAATTTTGAGATATTAACTGGTTTGATATTATCTGGGTACATACACTCCATGTACAAATAGTAATTGTCTAAAATTTTTATTTATTTAATTTTTGCTATATATATATTAAAATTTTTTTTTAAGAAATATTTCTGGACCTTCTATTTCAGGTGAAGTTCTAGAAGCTTTTTGAGAAAAAAAACCCACAGAAAATTTGTCATCTTCAAATATATTGTCAATGTCAAAGTTTTCAAATATTGCATTAAAAGAACTGTTTTTTTCGAGAAAATCTTCCTCCTGATTAACATTAAAAGAATTATTCTCAAAAAAATTTTCTTCATCAAAAAAACTATTATTTGATAATATAGGCTCATTGTCAGAACTAATATCATCCAAAGGTATTAACATTTTATTTATAGACATTTTTTAAAATCGATTTTATTTTTTTTTAAAAAAAAATAAAAAAAATCGTTACGATCACTGCATTCTGCTCTTTAACGACCATATTAGACTTCGGGCTTTTAAACTATCAAACTAACATTATAGACTCCAATTGGACCCGATATTATTAAGTTTAAAAGCCCGATATTTAAAATCACGTTTGCATAAATTTTATATAAGTAACATTTGCACGATATATTAATTTATACGCAATAGTGACCTCATCAACCATACACACGTGTTTACTAATTTTATTGTACTATACGCTACTACTTTGTACACACATACTCAACTACTATTCGTATTACTCTTCTCTTGTATGCCTATACTATTTTTTTACATAATAGTGTTTAAAAAGGGTCTGCACTAAGATACTCTATTATTTTATATAAGCTATTAAACCTTAACTGTATCAAAAATGTAAAACTATAATATGTATTTGGTTTAGAAACTGGACTCGAATCAACTGATAGCTTAAAAATCAAAATCTTGAATTAACTTAAGTCAAGACTATATTTTTTAAGCTAAAAGTTGACTCGAGTCCAGTCTCTACCTGGCTTTTAACCATCTCCTAAAAAAGAAATTTTGAAAAATGAATCAATAATATTGATCCTTATTTTGATATTTATTTTTCGAATTACAGTCAACTCTCATTAATCTTAACCCATTTGGATTAAACAATTATGTTGATTTATGTAAAAGTTGATAATAAAGAGATAACTTTTTATATAGCCTTGAGCTATTTTTTTTAATAAGATGTTATATTAACGAAAGATTGATATTAACGAGGTTGATATTAACGAGAGTTGGCTGTATAATTTACACCATAGAAATTTCTTGTCACCCGTCACGAAAATAATGATCCAGTAATGGACTTATATTAGTATATACAACACAACATATAGGCAAAAATCATGTTACTTTATATTGTAATGAAAATTAAATAATATATTATGTGACTACTTTAGATAAAGAAATTACAGCAAATAGCAAGCTATTTATAGTCACTCAATATAAGAAAGTTTCATTATTCTTGTTATAGGTTTGTTTATATGATGAATTCATTTTTTTGTCCTGCTTCGTCTTCGTACATGTAATAAACTGGTTTGCGCTTTCACTAAAATCAATTGACGTAATATATGCATCCACAATATAATCTTTCAGGTCTTTTAGACTCTGTATAAGCAACTCCTAGCAATGAAATTTCGTTAGATGTAAAAAGTTGGTATAGAACAAAGGAGGAAAAAAACAAACCCTAAACTTGAGCAACATTGGTATAGTACGTGATATTAATGCTAATTCAAATTTATTAGTTGGCAATTTTGATCGCATAACCTCGCGAAAAATATACAACCCTCTAAATGGGACCGACAACTCATAGACAATTGCTTCATTATCTGATATAAGTAAAAGATTTTAATAAACTTTATTCAATCATTTTCAAATTCGTTAATACTTACTATATGTCTGTAACCCGTATAATTTTAACAAGCTTAATTTTACACCTGCACCACCATGTTTACGTACAATTCTATTGATTATGGTCTTTAGCATGTTGGCGATCTTTAATTTATCGTCGAAAAAATGTGAATGATCACGCTTGTTTGGCGGTCCACTAACTTCACCAACGCTAAACTCAAGATCTGTTGACTTTAAAGACCAGATAATATCGACCTTATTTCCAACGTCACGAGATTCTTTGTCGGTTTTTTTCAGATTAAGTTCTTCAGACGATGCGAATAAATTGTTGTTCGGTAAATCGGCGAGTCTGTCGCTGAACTAATCCAATTCTCGCGTAACCTACGGCGGCTAAGTCGAAATAGGCGTGTTAGATTTGGCTGGGTGGTTTATCCGTAGGTGAGTACTACTCTTCTCTTCTAAGTCTTTCCTCCAACCTATTCTTCTTTAACCCTTGCTTTCTCTTATCTTCCTTCTACTTCCTTAACCTGGGGTTACGATACGTCGAATCGGGTTTGGATCCTTCTCTTGCGTTAACGGCTTGGTCACGAGACTTACGGCGAACGAACAAAATGCGGTTTAGTGGGTGTCAAATGGACGAACGATAGGGACAACGATGGGTTTTAACGATAGTTTTCAGTTTTGGTTGGGTTATAGTTCCACTTTTAATATGGGTCCGATACTTAAGTTTATTATGCGAAAAGGTATTTACTTGGGGGTATCGCAGTTCATACTTGTTACTTTCCCCCTGGGCGGAAAGCCCTTTATTTATAATAAAACTATTGTTTACATTCGAGGTTAATTTCCTCTACATCATCTATTTACACTATATAATTATTAAAACCCCTTTCCCTTCTATAATAACGAAAAACCGAATGTCCTATATACCGTCGATCTACCCGAAGTAATAAATGTAATAAATGTAACAAAAGTAATAAAAGTTACTTTTTATGTGACTAATTACTCGGGTAGGCGACGGGACCTAATTTCGACGATCAATCACGGGTAACCGTGATAACGGTAGGACAAGTTTCGGGGCTCACAAAATGGTTTTCATCACTACATGAATATATGTCGTAACCTTCATCAAAAATAGATCAAGACAAAAAAATGTGCATCTCCCGATGCATTCCACGGAAAAAACTGCGAATGATGAGTGCCAGAAAATTTCTTGGTATGCTAGTTCGGACAATTCAAAATCTGCAAGATCATTCTCTCTTTCAAATGAATCCGCACTATGAAAAAGAACTTGAATGTGAAACTTAGGAAATAACAAATATCAAATTGACCTATTGTTCTTACAGAAGATTCGCAAAGTCCCATGCGAATTTCAAAGTGTCATCTTGTCTTGTTTCACTATAGCTCTCATCAACAGTCTTGCGAAAATCATCTGCCTATATGAGCAGCATAGCGGGCTTAAATTTGATTGGTTGATCGACATGCATATGTGTTACATATTTGCGTAACGTTTGCAGTCACTAAATCGAATTGGCAGCCACCAATACGGATTGGCAAAGGTTGCGACATAAAAAAACTAAAAGTATACCTTCTGTTTAATATACTGTTAAAATAATTCGGTAAACGGTTAGCTAATTCGGAACTTAGCTAAGAAGTGTTTATTGCCATTTCTTTACACTAGGAATCTATTTTTAGTGTGAAATAAGAAAGCAAGATGTCTACACAGCAAACCGACGAAATTACCACTACATCTAATACACAAAGAAGAAAGAGAAAGGCTCAATACTGTGATCTAGAAGGCCAGGAGGGTGTCAACTGTGATTATGAAAAGAATGGGGCAACTATTGTATCTGAAAAAGTAACAATACCAAATTCAAGTCAACATTTGAACTTGGTTGGAAAAGCTTTGTGTCGAAAACATTATAATAAGTTAATAGTAAATGCAAAAAAAACCAAAAAAACTAACATATGTTCACATCCAAAACATGATCTTTATATTTCTACAGTTCGAAATAATTCAGAAGCAACAACTTTAAAAAAGGCACCAGAACGATTGATTGAATTTTTTAATTTGCCAGAGGGGGTGACTATGTGTCATCATTGTCTATATAAAACTGATGATGACCTGGAACATATCAACTTGCCTAATTATCCACCAGTTCCAGAAAGGATTTCAAAAGAGAATGTAAAAAAATTTCAAGGTAGGTCGTATGTTTTACGTAACGACATCATCTATTCTGAATCTGAATTCCAGGAGTTGGAGTCTGCATATCACGAAGTGTGTGCTGAGCTTGACGAAGCAAGACTAGGTAATAATTTTAATTTTTTATTGTATTTTAACCAAAACTTAATTTAATTTATAATTATCATTGTAGAGTTGGTCCCTCTTAGTAAGAAAATTAAGTTAATGGTAGGCATGTTATATACAAGACAGCATGTATATAACGAAAAACCTATTCTTGACTTAAGAAGATGCTTGAGGAGGTTGAACCATCTTTACAAGGTTTTTTTGATCAATTGGTAGCAGGAACTAACCTACAGGCTAAAAGTCATATGACTAATGAGAAAAATAGAAAAAGATTGGTTTCATTTTGTTATTTTCTTGCAGGCCTTAATAACAAATTTATTAACAGGGTTAAAGCAGAGGTTGGGCTTTTATTAGATGCATCTGGAATATTGTCATCGGCAATAGAAACCTTAGCGGGTGCAGGGTTAACAATAAGGTGTGAAACTATTGCAAGGCACAAAGCCCAGCATGTAGAAGTACATAATTTGACAGTAGAAAATTTTGTATAACAAAACGTGTGTACAATTATAAATATTATTATTATAATTCTCTTTTTTGTTTTTTTTTAATTTATAACTAATCATTTGTAATTACAATTTTTAACAGGCTAATAACTTGGTCATTCTTAATTTGGATGACTTTCATAATATACATGAATCCCGTTACAGTGATACAACTACTGCTCGTGAAGTTCCCCATTTTGCCACAATTCTTCTAAAAGCCCTGTCGGAAGTAGCATCAATCCCCTTTCATAATCCTAATCAAAATAATAACATCCATAATGAAAGGGGTATTGATGCAAAAATTATAATAACGAATGCTTATTTTGATTTCTTTTTTTATTTATAGCTTAGTTATACAGAACGAAGACAGGCATTTAACGATTTGGTATCTGAACCAGAAACTTATGATGAGTGAATGGAGCATCTTCTAATTCATTGTTATGATGACAGGATTGAGCAACGTAGAACTGATCGAAGCATGGATAATACTAAATTGGTAGATTTGAAGCATGGATCTCTTCACTTTACTGAAGATTATTTGAATGCTCTTGATGATATGCTGAGAATTCAAGAGATAAAAAATTATTTGGAAACACAGATATTAATAGCACCTATGGACTATCTAGGGCAATTACATGTATGACAAGCTATAACTTATCGCATCAATGCTGGTGATTTTTCTGAAATTTTGGAACAAGTTAGGCATATTGTTCCGATTATTGGACCCTTACATGTATCCTTAAATAGCTGTGAAACAGTATTTCTTGAAAATTATTAGTTTTTTGATAAGCTTTTTCATGAGGTATATGATTATAATAAGGTTTTGGCACAAAAGCCAAAACCTTATAAAATTAACTTGTTATTAGAATTAGCATTTCAGGGTTGGTCTCAAGTGTGCTTGATAATCCTTCAGAAATTTAGAAAATCTAAAGATCTGGAACCCCGATATCTTATTAACTTGCTGGATAATGTTATACCATTAGTTTTAGATTTTTATCCTGTCATATTTTATAGTGGAAATTGGCCTGCATACAAGGAAGCCATGTTTCGCATCTGGGCTATTTTTTATCAATATCGACGCAGGCATTATAATAAGTTGCTATTGACATTTTTAAGTGATGCTTTTTATTAGATTAGTACTAACCATCCCATTTCTCAAGTTCTAGTAGACTATATCTATGTGTTCAATGATTATTATGTGGAGAACTTTCATAACTCGCTTCGACGGCAAATTCAGAAGTCAAACAATGCAGAGCAGATTATTCGGCAAGCACAAATAATCGATCAGATGTGTGGTAACAATTCTTTCACAAATGTGTTTTTTGAAAATCATAATATTAGATATTCAGCAAAACAGCTAGAATATCTTGAAAAACGTACTGCTCTCTTTCTTCTAAGCTTTTTTACAAGTGTTTATCAGAATCTTGATAGGTTGTCATCTGATGCACATTCGAAATCTAAGTTATATGAACTTCCAATACTTGGAACTCAAGTCGATGTTAAAGTGTTACCAATGGCTTGGAATACAGCATACCTTTCACAAAAAGATCGTTTCTGTGACTTGGAAAGCTGTGAAAATTCTCAGGAGGTAGGTTGTATTCTTGTTTGTAGATACACTTATCACTATGAATGTTTTTTGTTTAAATTGGGGAGTTAATGCCGTCATTGTATCAAATATCTTACAAGAGGAATTAGAAAAAATTGTAAGGATTATCAGAAAACTTTGAATTCGTTTGGTAAGAAACAAGAAAATGAGAACATAGGAGAATTGGATATTGTTGAAACTGGTTTTACTAATATTGATGATGCTGATACTGTCGATGATACCAACATCGATGATGGTTCCAATGTTGAAGACGATTCTAATATCGAAGGTGATTCTGATATAGATGATAATACTAATATTTGCGACGATACTAGTGATACAGATTTTCTTTTAGATGATAATACGGATCCTAATAATATCGATCAGATTCTTGAAAATGTCATAGTTGGTTTAACAAATATGTAATTTGAGTGTAATTGTGAAATAAGTCATGTATTGTGGCATATATTTTTTGATGTGTTATTTTGAGAAACTATTTTGTATTGAAATTTATAGTATTTGGCCTTTTATTTTTAGTGAATTCATAATTTTTTTTTTGGTATAAGTTGAATTTATTAAATATAGATTTTTAATTAAATCGTAATACATTTATTTATTTAATGTAAACTGTTATTTTTCTTAATAATAAATATCGTATTACTATGTATAGTTCTTATCGCATTTTATTGTTATCCATATTTGCTACATTGTTAAATTTAATGTTTTTATTAATTATAATTTTAAGAAAATTTTTACATAATTTTTACATCACATAATTCATTCCCAAAATTTACAATCTCAATACCATTCACTTTTTAACATTCATCCCACATTCACAGGTCAGTTCCGCATTCTTAATACCATCCAATGTCATGTATTCTAAAATCACAATTAGTTTGAATGTTGCCAAGACAAACTATTAATTGTGTAAAAAAAATTAATAGTATGCGCAATTAACACAGAAAATTAAAGTTAATATGAGAATTCCATCACAAAACATAACAAAATTTAAATAGGAAAGAGGAAGGATTAAAATACCTTCAGAATTTTGAAAACTGCCTCGTTTAATTGGAGCACACATCCGACCGGTTTTCTAAGTCAAGCAAAGTAATAAGTACGAAGTTAGAAGCTTTGTTTTCTCTTTGCAGCATATACTAAAAATTAACATAATTAGTACTCTAACGTGACAATCTCAACATATGAAGAATTTCTATACTTTATGATTTATTATATATTATTTGATCAACCAATAGGAATTCATGAAAGTCACGAAATGATCTACAAAAAATTGGCCAATTATAATGAAAGCCTGCTATGCTTATATGAGCAAATTAGAAATTTTTTTTAAAAAATCCAATAACTATGCTATAATTGCAAACAACCAATAAATTTTGAATACATATATATGAAACGAAGAATAATATACTTTAATAAATTTAACAAGTAGCTCTTTCACATTTTCTGTAACAGATTGCTGTTATACTGATCCAAACTAGAGATGTTATCGGCGCCGGCTCCAGCCACGGCTTGATACCTGAGCCACTATCAAGCCAAGCCTTTAAAATCATGACTTGAATCAGAGAAGTATGGCTTTCGGCTCTGGCTTTCAGCCATAGCCTAAGCCAAGCTGATAAACTTTATCCATGATTTTGAAGCCGGTTTTAGACATAGCTGATTTAAATCCTGTAGCTTCACAATAGCTTAAGACATAGTTAGCAACGGCTCAGAAAACTAAGCCATGATTTAAACAGCTTGGCTAACTCAAGTCATGATATATGCATGGCTTGGCTGCACCATGGCTATTTATGCTATGGCTTGACTTCGGCTATGGCTTTAGTGAGCCAAGCCGAGCCATTTCAGCCAATTACATCTTTAATCCAAACCACATAATTTCATGCATTGTGTCATTGAGCAGGGATCGTATAAAGTCGCTATTTGTGCCAGGAGTAATGTCTATTATATCAGAATAAGCTAGACTAAAATTTTCCATTATCAATATATTACATTTTCAACATACTGTATTTTAAATATTATTAAAAAATAGTTACTCTGTGCGTGATCGGCCTCTTTGTTTCTTCCATTTCGTTAATGCATCACGTAAATTAATTCCATTACTAACAACCCATGTCTTTCCATCATATTGAACTGACTGTTCGGCTTGTCTTTCTAATTCATTTCCATTATCATTATATTTTTTAGGATTAAGAAAATTTTTGTTATTTGAATGGTCCACATTTTCTCCTTCTGTACGTCGACGCTTATACGAATTGCCAACTTAATTCTCCTTATCTTCAGTTTCAAAACCCATTTAATGTAATATCAATAAAGCCAAAATGATAATAAGGTACTGTAAACAATTAAACTACCGCTGTTCCATAAAAGACCCATGTTGCTTCCTGCTTTACATTGATTCGTGTTCTTGATAAAAGAAAAAAAAATGAGATTAGTAGTTTTTACACTACTAAAACAAATACTGGCACTATTAATAGATTAACCATAACGATCTAAAAGATCATCAGAAGAACAACTAAAAGTTGTGTCTTCCTTGTTATGAATGCCACAAGCACAGCGATCTAAAAGATCATCAGAAGGATAACTAGAAGTCATATCTTCCTTGCTGTGGACAACCACAGTCAACTAAAAGTTTACTGCAAAGAGCATTTTCTACTAAAAGTACAAAAAAATAGTACTTGTCTGACAACTTTCTAAAAGTTCTTTAGCTTTCCGAATTTTTGGAAGATCTGAGCTCCGGTTGATTATAGCACATAAACTTTTAAAAAACACGTCCATAGCCTTGCTATAAGTTAATTGTTCAGGATTATTTTTATAATTTTTATGAAACTGAAAAGTATAGTAAATGTTTTCAAAAAAATAAACACAAAGGATTTATCCAGTATTTATACGTCTGATTAAGAGTATAACGCGTCTCATAAAAAGGAGTGAAATGATGTAAACAAATATGTTCTTTTGATTGGTTGTCCTTTCATATTTATCCATAAATTGCATTCTTGATATTTATATAAGCCATAAACCATAACTGCATCAAAAAGGTAACTCTAGAACTCACTCCGCTTTAACCGACCCGCTAATTTGGGACTGTTTCTCCTGTTCCAATAAGATGAATAATAAACTCCAAAATCTAATCTTGTATTTGATTCAAGTCATAAAGTTTTTTTTATAATTAGTTAATTTTATATACTACGATAAAACAATTAATAATTAAGAAATCAGAATCTGAAGCTAAAAACCTAGTCTAGTAAGCATTGTTTACATTGACTTCAATTCTCGATTTTCATTAATGCATGAATGTGCATTTAAACATATGGATCCTCGCTACGCACGTTTCGGACAATTAATAAACAATAAAGATGTTATTTTACAATTAGAATTGGTTTAAGGTTTTTTGATTAAGTAAATGGTATTACGTATCATTTATCACCAGTTTCACCTTCAATTAAAAAAAATCAGGATTTAAAAAGATAGATAATAGTAAGATTACTTAAACTTTGTTACGTATTTAGCGATCAATTTTTGATTTCCACATCACACCTAATCTTGCATTCTGATTGGTTTTTATTAAGAATAACTGATGTATCATGCTAGTTAGGGGTGGGAGTACAGGGTATGCCCGAAGGGGGGCATGCCTTAGGCTGAGACACAACCTTCTTATTGTCCCTGAAGCGTGTCCTTTAGTGTCTAGTTACTTTTTTATTAAATCGAATGAATACGTATACAAATTGAATATACAAAATGAGTTAACTAAGAAATTTATACTACGTAAAACAATTGTTCTACGTAATATCTGTTATAGAGTGGTTTCGTAAGTTCTCGTTATGTATTCATTACCATTATGTATTTTGGTATAACAAATCAACCAATAATATTTATGCATGTGATTAGATTGACTTACACTCAACGATATGTTTTAAAAAATCTAAACACTGTTACCTTAATAAACATTATCTGCATATGTAAGTGATTTTTTAAACCATAAAAAGAATTTATTAAAAAAAATTGTACGATAAATAAAATGTAAGTTTCTTTTAGTTTCTTAATTTCTTTCCAATAATTATGCTTAACTGTTAAGATCTACATCAAATTAACCAATCACATTAATAATTAGTAATATGAGTTTACGTACGTATGACCTCCCCTCTTTAGAGTCATGATTCAGCCTGTTAACATTAGGGGCAGTGATAAATGTTATGTAATATTTTGAAGGGGGGAGGGGATCTTCGATAACTTATATTAAATCAAAAAATTCTCTTATGTGGGAGAAGGGTATAGTAAAAAAAAAAACATTACGCAATATTTGTCACTACCCTTATCAGCTTTATCAGCTTTACCAGTGCATACGTACATGTTTCTGAAATTTATTATTTTACATGATTAAGTAAATAATAAAAAAAGCGCCGTACCATACGTACTATATTCTATTTCAGATTAATGAAAATAGGGAATTGGCTGAGGGTAGAAAAATTAGCGCTAATCATGACGTAAAAAATTTCGTGATCACATGAATCTAACTATTTTCTGATATCAGGGATATTTCGAAATTTAATTGTATGTAAGACATGTGATCTCGAAATTCTCTAGAATTCTCTAGAGACCGAAATTTTGGCATCCCCCGTGACAATTATATTTTAGGAACACCAATACTTATTACTATCGACACTAAATTCTAAAATTTCCTTCATCCATTATATGCCAAATAATAAAATTTTTCAAATAAATAACGTTGATTCTTTTTAATATTTATTTTATCTAGCAGCCTATTAATAATCGGGCTACAAAACAACACAAGTTATTTAGAAATCGTAGATTACAAATAACACTAACTATATATTTTTGAATTCAATAATTCTAATATTATAGAAATTCACACTGCTAATTTTTAATCTAAAATATAACAACGATATAAATCTTAACTATTTACAATAACGATCAGCTTTAACCTTTTCCCGACGATCTAGTAATCTATAAAGAAATAAATATTTATAATTAGATATTAAAAATAAAAGGTTGAAATAATTTACATATAATAAACTTACGCTTCAGAAAAATTTCCTTCCTTCTTAGCCTTCTTTAATTCTGATATATCTTCTTTGGTTGTTTTTATTCGACCACCACCCCATGTTTGATATTTTTTTCTGTAAAATATAAAATAATTTATAAAATAATTTAAATAATAATTTTAAAATTTAAAATAATTTAAAAATACATACATTTGTTCAATTTCATATTCATTAATTGGTTTACTTTCTTTCTTAGTATTTTTCGATTTTTTACGAAGTTTAGCTTGACATTTTACGCTCCAAGTTTCACAAAAACCAATTGTTTCAACATCAGCTCTTAATTTATATCCACCATCAGCAATTTCATCAACACTTAAAAATTTATCATAATAATTTTGTAATGCTATTCCATCATTCCTTAAGATTGGTCTCCATTCTTCTTGAGGACCTATAGCTTCTCTCTCAGCAGTAATTGTACCAAATTTATCCGAAGCAAGATATTTACCATCAAAAGTTTTTAATGATATACAATCAGTTGAACCAACAATTTTAGAACCTACAAATACGAAAGAAACTTCATCGGGTTCACAAGTTAAAAGTTTTTTATCAGGTAAAGGACGTACACCAATGGAACGATCTTTCTCGGAACAAAAAAGGCATGATAGAGGTTCACCATTAAATACAAAAAATAAGGGACCAACAAGATCTTCTTGTGTTCCAGCAAGCACCCAACCTGTAAGATAAATTAAAAAATTTTGAGTAATAATTTTATATATACAGTTAACAAGTTCTAAGTGTAAGGTGCAAAGTTCCAAGTACAGTTTTATGCTAACTGCAGCTTTTGATTTCGTTCCACTTAAGTTATATGCACAGTTGAAACACACTTAAACTGAGATTGACTATGTTATAAATAATAATAATAATAATAAATAATAACCTTCTTGACTGCCTTCTTCTTCAATTGATTCTTCTGCTTTACGTTTCTTCTTTTTCCTAAATGAAAAACAAATTTATCTAAATAAATGTTTATTGAAATTAAGAATTTTTAATTTCAAACTTGTTGAATTTAAAAATAATTACTTGGAAGAATTATCTCCTTTAAAACTTAGTTTTCCTGTTGATGCAACTTTATACTCGGACATAGTGACAAAAAATCCTAAGGATCGTAGGTTGTTTAAAAAAATTTATAATCTGCAATTTGTATCACAAATATAGAAGTTTCCCAATACTTTGTGAAATGTAACAGATCCCAGTTTATTTATATGGTATAAATACGGTACACAATCTATAAATCAGCTATATAAGCAAGCCAAAGTAATTTTCATTTTTCAAAAAAAAAAATCTTTAATTAACGTTAAAAAAAAAAAAAAAAAACATGGCCGCAGGTGATTCGTTACGTTATCGTACGCGCACGATGGTCCCTTCTGGTATTTACTTAATCCCTTGTATCTTTTGATACTTTTGATACTTTTTTTATAAGTAACCGGATCTTTTCAATACAATAGGACCCCCGGAAACTTATGGATCAAGAACCCTGACACTTCACCCTGAAGATCTTGAAGAAGAACAAAGTTCAGGTGAAGAAACAAGAAACCCTTCACGGTCGGTCGGAACTTTGAGACTACGTGGTGGAGGACTTTCAAGTGGTAGAAAAGTAAAATGGGATGAAAATGTCGTTGATAATGAAGGAATGGGGAAAAAAAAATCAAAGAGTATGTGTCATATATTGATTATTTTATTTTTTATTTGTCTTTTTATTTCTTACTTGTATAGTAACGACGGTTTTTTATTTTTTTTTAAAGTATGTTGTATTTACCATAGACCACGACAATTCGATGAATCATCATCAGATGAAGACTCAAGCAGTTGTTCTGACGACGATCATGATAATGAAGGTGAAAATAGTCATCATCATCATCATAAAAAACGTAATGGTAGTCCAAATGCTTATGAACGACAACCACATTATAAAGGTATGAATTATTAATAATTGTACAAGGGTGTATGGTACACTTGTTAATTTCTGTAACTTGAAATTCGTGTTACATGTCAATCAAACCAATTTTTATGAATGAAAATTAAATCCTTGCTTATAGTTAGAGTAAGTATAAGTTTGGAATTGGAGTGAGGTATAGTTTATACCAAATTTTCGCAAGAAAGTTTTTTTGTTAGAAGCCAAAAGATGGTTTTATAATTGAAATTTTGAGATATCAATTGGTTTTGATGTGTACATACAACCCGTGTACAAATAGTAATTGTTTTACGTATTAATATATTTCCACCCCTTTTTTTGATGAGCTGCATCCTTGTTAATAACAATCAATATAGATTAGGGTTTTGGTTAGGTTTAGAGTTATCAAGGGTGTGACAATGTCAAAAAAAGGGTGGAATATCAATTCCCTCAATAATATATCATTATATTTTTGAAATTCTTAACTATATATCACTCTCTTTATAGTGAACTCCCGATATAGTGAAGATTCGATATAGTGAAGAATTTTGCAAATCAAACTTATTAAAATTCAGCTCGATATAGTGAAGTTTTTTTTCTCAGTCCAAAAATTTTATTATAAAGTGATATATTTTAGTATTTATTTCTATTCATCAAAACCTGCGATATCGCAGTGATCGATGATCTGTACATCAGCCGGTAAAATCAGAGTTCTCAAATGACCAGGTCATTTGCATTTTGAAATAAAATTTTTAAAAAACATATATTTTATAAAGTTTATTCTGCTGGCTAATAATATACAATACTATTATGTAGTTACTTTAGTTAGTGAAAAGATTGGTCATTTAAAAGTCATTTGAGAACACTGAGTAAAATCGTAGAACACAATTTACTATATACGTATTTTTATTTATAATAATTACTTTATTTTTATTAATTTACTTTATTTTAAATACAAGAAATGCATAGATGAAAAAATTAACAATAAATGAACTTCATTCCCTTGCTCACGATTAATAAAATTGACCTATATACTTTGCGTGACAAAATGTGTTCGTTTAAAATTCCCTCACTCACTCAAGCGAAACATTAACTTTGAGAAATTCAACTAGAATCTCTAGACAAAACGTTAATTGGAAGTAAATTCGTCATAACAGATTTTCTACTATAAAATAGATTCATTTTACGTATTGTTCTTTTCAATTCCCAAGAATTTCAGAAGTGATGTTAACCGAAGATTAAACTACAAGCGGCCCTATTACATGTTCGCCCATCCCTGCAGATTTTGATTATAAATGAATGCCATAGTGATGATTGACGTGATCATCACCTAATCTAATCATAATACAATCAGATCGTAAAGCAATTAACCGACCCAAATTTTATTTAGGCGAATTTTATGTGATCACAGCTAATCAAATTATAGAATTTTGATGATCACCGGCGAAGCAAAACAAGAAACAAAAACGAAAAACCTAAAAAATACAAAAAACGACAGTCTAAACCTACCTCAGGTAGGTTAAGTAAACATGTCGGGAAGACAATTTTGCTTACACATAACTATTTAATAAATATGTGTTGCCACCATTTTAGATGTCCTTCAAATGAGGAAATTTGAAATTTGGGTGGTTATACAATATAACGATAATACAGTAATATACATACGTATTTATAGTGATAATACGGTAATCTATACGTATTTGCTTATATAATTTCATTATAATAATAAGTAATTTAGACTAATATTATTATAATTTTAATTTATTTTAATTTAATGTTATATTCTATTATATAAATATAAAAAAGTATTTTATATTAAAATTATATAAAATAAGACAATTAATTATCTTTTATCGCCAGTGCTACCCTCTGATCGACTAATCATTTGATTTGTTTTTGATTTTATCTTAATCAAAACAAAACAAATAGCGACCGGATTAAAACAAGGATTAGAAGAATTTTTTCTAATCCAAAATTTCATAGTCAAAATTTCATAGTCAAAATTTCAAAGTCAAAATTTCAAATTAGCGTTAGAAGCGATTATTTTTTCACTTCGATTTTCACGTTACACCTTTTCCTGCATCCCGATTGGTCGATCAGGGCTGGTACTGACGATGAATGATAACCTTCATAAAATAATATTTTTTATAAGTTGTATTTTTTTATACTTATTTATAATTTATTTTTAAATTTTAATAAAAGTCTATACTAAACAATGCTATGCAGTTTTCTAGTAATAGTTGCCAAGCGTAAATATTTCACCAATGTTTTTACACTTCAACATCTTAGGACAATTTACAGTTGAACCTTCCAAAACTGATTCTGCCATTCCTGATAACTAATACTCAAAAAATCATATTAGATTTGACAAGTAATATAAATCAATTTGATTACGTAGTAATCTTCACGAAGTATCTAGAATGATATAGGAAAATTAATTATTTGCTGCCCGATACGAGAGTATCAGAGCAGCATTTTGTCTCGAACACAAAGTGTAATTAATTGATATTAGAGTTTATAACCTGGATTCGGACCTTAATTACGAGATCCGGATCTAATAAATTACTCAATTCCTAAATCTTTTCGGTTTCATCCTAAAAATCACTAATTATTCGGAAACCACATCGCTGTCTTCAAGAGAGTTTCGGGAAATGAGCAAATTTTTCAAGTGTCCCGGAATTTATGAAAACACTATCTAATTATTATTAAGATCTAGACCTTATTAGGATCTGAATCTTATAGTTTGGAGGTAATAACTCTAGATTAAATGCCTGATTTATTGATAGGGTTATGGAGTATTTTCTATTTGCAGCTTATCGCACGTCCGTAATCTTATGTCAAGAAAATCCCGGGCTGAAGATCACTTCCGGACCTATCTGGATCTCGTATAATAAAACAAACATAAGAAATTGTAAAATAAACGTAAATAACACAAAAATTTACTATGATAACTAACTTCCCACCTCTAAGTAAAAGTTTTCAGAATGGAATTTTACTCGTATAATACAATTGTTAATGTTAGATATATAGTAATTTTTGAGATACTACGACCATATTTTTTTGGCCGGCAGCTCGGGATTTTCTTTACATAAGGATAAGGATACCCGACAGGTCTATACTTCTTCGAAATCAACTAGGTGCATTCTAAATCTACGATAATTCCATTCCGACGTACGACATATATATAAAGTGGTTCATATTTCTTTTATTGTAACTTAATAAACATTTCAAAATTAAAATTTTTTTTCGGAATAAGCAATCTTAAAATTATTTTTAACATCACTACCCATGTTAACTATGAGACTTAGTTTTTAATATTTACGGTGCAATATAGGAAATAATATAGGAAATAGTGGTAGATAATTTTATGTTAAACATGTTACACCTTTCTTTTTCAGAGGTTACCAGATTGATCGTCATTACCCGAGTATTGCATTTGAAATAAATCGTTTTAATTTTGGTGATTTCTATCGATCAATTTTTGACCCTACATGCTATCATGACAATCAAAAGATTTACTTCATCCTGATTGCTATATAATTTTAAAGGTAAAAGTAATCATGATCATGTAATTGTAAATACACCAAAAGTCAATCATTTATTTCTTCGAATACAATTCTCATTTGTGAAACGCGATTTTGCTAAATTTGCTCCTTCCGTTGCTCCTTCTGTTTTGATTAGCCAATATTATCAACCGTTTTTTTAGGAATAGTTGTAGTACTATTATAGAAATATCATTACTTATACGTACGAATCACTAATATCAGTCAGTACATAATGAACGTACGCACTTAAATGAAGCAATCATATATACGTATATATATATATATATATATATTTTACCGCAATTAAACTTAAAATATAATAACGACAATAAATTAAATCGTATATCTGTATATACAGTAGTAAAAGTCTCTTTAGATTTAAACAGACTTGTTGTATTGAACATCCTTATTATTTTTGGACTTGAATGTGAGCACATAGAGCACTTGATGTCGGTATACCCCTATCATTACTCCTATCCTAAATGAACAGGTATCAATCTAACGTTAATTGCATATTTGTATACAATCCTAATTCAGTAATTCTAAATATTAAACGCAAAGTACATTTCCCCCTGAAAAATTTCGTACGTACGTATGTATCTGGTATGTATGTATCTGGTATATTAGGTTGCGCATTTACAAAAAAAAATTTTTCCACCCTATCAATCAAAATTCAAGCTCGGGTATAAGCTCGGGTGTAACATCAAAAAGTCAAAAATAAAGTTTAATTAAATTAAATTGTGTAAAATTAAATGTTAACAACTCGTATAACATATTTAGAGTACGTATAACCTAAGCATCCTCCAATAAAATTTTATAAGAATTAATTTTGCAAAAAAAATAAATTTTATACTGTATAACGATAAGTGTGAAATAGCAATGTTGTACATTGCACAAAATTGAGTATTTGGACTGGAACTCCAATCTGCCTTGGACGCCCAATGTCCAATTAAAACCGTTAGACATGACAACACTGCTCAGGGGTGTAATTACAAAATTAGGGTTAATTTTGCTAACGTTGAAGATTTAGTGCATATCAAGATCCCCGACATTGGCAGGACACATAGTGATCGAAAAAGGTTTCTTTGCAAATTTTCGAAGTCTTGGAAAATGATACGTACAAATTTGGATGTAAATTAGAATTACATACAATGATAATAAACTTTTTCCATTAAGGTCCTGACAAGTTTCAATGCTCATAATCGTTCGAGAAGCATCTATTATGCAATCCTTTTCGCAATTGCAAAATACATATAATAAAAATCATTGTAAATGTAAAGAAAGTAAATTGTCTTGTGGTAGTAGCTGTCATCCTAGTAATCATAAATGTAAAAACTTTCTATAATGGTTTTAGATTTAATTAATTTGCATGCGTTGCATTATGAATAAACCTTATCTTGAATCGACTTAAATTCCGAAACAATGTACTCAATAAAATAGTTTAGAATCCACTTAATTTTACTATAAGTTGAATTTGAATTCTTTAACAACTCGAGTGCAATTTAGAATTCTATTACAACCCATGTTTATTCAGAATCAACATATAAACATGAGCATTCTTGAATTTAAATATTAAATATGGCAAAAAAAAAAAAACTAACTATTAAAAATATACAATTAGCTTCGATATTGGCACGGTCTGTACACAATGATTTGATTGGTTAAAAAAGAAAATGATATTAATGTAACGTATACTAATAGTTTAAATTTTAAATTTCGAACCACAAGTACGATAATGTTTGGATATGTACGAACAAAAAAAATTTCAACTGTGTAACTTATCACTTTTATCCCCGTTGTGTGATCACCTAGACAAATGAATAACAATAGGTTACAAATGAAATAATTGGAATGAATGAACATTTTAATGTCATTAAGATAATTAGCACGCCACAAGATCCTTCAAACTTAGGATCTTGATTATGTGATACAATGCATAAAATTAACTATTATTTCTATTTTCTGAACAAAGCTTTATCGTTATATATTTCGAGTCGTTATTCTGATCATAATCATTATTGTTTTCTTATGAATGCTAATTTTTCTTTAGTAATTTCAACATATGTATCCGTATATAGCTCATTGAGATTGTTCCGGTTATTTACTTGGGCAACATCGGTCTGGTCATATGCTGCATATAAAAAAGGAACTATTACGGTATTTAAATATCAGGTTTATTTTGATAACAATCAAATAGAAGAATACGTATTTATACATATAACACGAATTATCTAAATTGTTAAGTTGCCCTGTTATATACGTAGAACAATATTAAGATGATCAGAAAAAGAATTGGGAATGAATGGACTGTCCATTGATTATGTGTAAAATGCATACGTAAAATTAATTATTTCCACGTTTACGTACTCACAATGCATAACGATGATTTTAGAAAGTTTAAGATTAATACTGTTATCCTAATTTGTATAAACATGTTTTTCATTCGGTTATTAATCAATTGAAAATCAACCAATCAACGAAACTCCGTAACAACGTCAAGATTTTGTACATACATAAATAACTCGTTTAATTATTATATATATATATAAATATAATAAATTTTCACTTTTAAATCAGAATTCCTCCTTGAAAATAAAATATGGGAAATGAATGTACAAAATTTCGTAAAATAGAAAAAAAACCAATAATGATTCGTTGGAACTTAATTAATGAAGAGACTGATATTCTTCAATTAAATGCTGGAGGAAAAAATATCATTGAGCAATATAATACTATGTTAAACCAATTAAAAGAATGTAATCAATTAACAGAGGATGAAAAAATAAAAGCAGTGGAAAATATAACATTCATGAGAGATCGAGAAAACCTTGTTCGATTAAAAGAAATTACTTACCCATGTGAAAAATGTGGTGAACCTGGATATACCGAATTGTTTTGCGAACACTGCGTACGCAAATGTCTCAAAAATAACTTTATTAATTGGACATCAGGAAGTGAAATTATTGACAAAGCAATTCAAAATGCTCAACTAAAACTTCCATTTCCAAGGTATATTATTGAATGGATATCATTCGATGACCTTGAAACTATTGTGTATAAAACAAAAGGTGGTTTCTCAAAAATTTCTACTGCCATTTGGAAGAAAGGTGTTATAATGTCATTTGATAAAAAGAAACAAGAATTTGTAAGAGGAAAACCCATTACTGTGATTCTTAAAAACCTTTCGAATGGTGATTCTCAAGCAGAAGAAAGAACCCTTTCGAATGATTCTCAAGCAGAAGAAAGAACCCTTCTGAATGGTTCACAAACAGAAGAAAGGTTTTTAAAAGAGGTAATTATGAGAACAGAAATTTGAATACTAATGCGAATGATTAACTTTAAATAATTAATCGATAAGAACTAACGCGCATATATTCTTTACATAACAAATAGTTAGAAACTCATATTTCACTATGTTCAGAGGGTTATACCGTTGCTACTTGCTACGGTATAACAAAAGACACTAAAACTGGTGACTACATTCTTGTGCTTGCCAACTATGAACAAGATCTAGGGTCATATATTAAAAGTTCCTATGATAAAATCACCTGGAAGGAAATTTATAAAATTTTTTATAATATTTCAGGTGAATAATCGTTTATTAACTTTCACACATCTGTAATTTTATTAATTTTCACACATCTATAATTTTATTAACTTTCACACATCTATAATTTTATTAATCTTTCCTGACTTGTTTTCCTAACTTGTTCAAAATTAGAGGATTTGTTTAATCTGCACAAAGAAGATTTACATAACATGCACAAAGAAAAACTCATACATTGTGACTTACATGACGGAAATATTCTAAAATCCAAAGGAAATTTATTTCATTTATCAGACTTTGGTCTTTCCGGACCAGTCAACAAAAAACGAAATGAAGTTTACGGAAAACTTCCGTTTATAGCACCCGAAGTCTTAACTGACAGAAAATATACGACAAAAACTGATATATATAGTATATCAATGCTTATGTATTATGTAGTTGTAGGTAAACCACCTTTTTTTGAACGCAAACATGATCCCAATCTTTTATTAGATATTATAAATGGATTTCGTCCTACAATGCCAAAAGGATTGCCACAAAATTTCCAATACGTAATGGAATTATGTTGGGATCCAAATCCTGATAAACGACCATCAGCCAAAGATCTTTATTATTATTTTTTGAGTGAATATGAAGCAGAATTAAAAAATCCATCTGTGAAAAATGTGACTATTTCAAACAATGAATCCATAGAAATTCATGAGTGCGAAAGCACTCTACATGATATTAGGTTTCAGAAGGAACAAATAGGTAAGTTTTAAATATAGTATCTTTTATTTATTTATTTAAAATTTATTACAGTTAAGTATGTATTGAGTTGCAACAATTTATATACTTTTAATCGATTCAGTACATAGTGAACTGCTTATATGTTTGTACAGCATTTGTGTGACGTATGTGCAGCGTCTGTGCAGTGTCTATGCAGTTCTGCACAGTTTTCGCACAAGAAATACGTATTAAGATCAACTTTTTTTTTTTTTTTAAACTACATGATATTTTTTTAAAAATCATACATTACCATAAGTGTCAACTTAAATTCAAACATGAGTTGATATTTCAGGCTACGTAAGTTATAGTTAACGTCAAAATTAATGAATTACGCATTTATCTTATACGTACTATTAATTGACAATTTAAGAAAATGCGAAATTACGAAATCTTGTAAATTTCAACGTCAACTATAACGATAATGAAATATTTCGTCAATTTTCAGAGACGAAATAATTTCAGTTTAACAAATAATATATATAGTAATTTTTAAAATATTTTACTGGCGTGAAATAAATAATTCCGCCTAAAAGAAGAATTTAGAATTCGTCTGAAACACCAATATATGTAAATACTCATATTGAGTATTGTGGCGAATTCATGTTAACATTAATATATAAATATATATAAATGCAATCCTTTAAAACAATAATTCGCCACAAAAAGAAATAACGTTTATGTTGCAAAGGTGCTGCGCCCTTTGCTGTACAAATGCTGCACAAACTCTACAGTATAAAAACGCTGTAAGAGTTTGTCAGTTAAAATATTTGATATTCCTTATCCTATATTTGCAGAAGAGCGAATAGGTAGATTATATAGTTATTAAAAAAATTTTTTTAATAATTAATTAAACTAATCTAAATTATCAATTTTACCATTCTTCCTAGACCATGAGAGTGGCGTATCTAGATTAGTGAGTAAGTTTTATTTTATTTTATTTTACGTATTTCAAAGCAAAAAAAATTTTTTTTATGTCATTGCGTACCATTCATTTAATAATTGCCCATTGTTATATATAGTCAATGAAAGCTATTCTTCACAAAGTGAAGATGGCGTAACCATTGCTGTTGGTAAGTTTTTTAATCCTCCATATCTTTTTTTTTATCTATAAAATAATTACTTGATGTTAAAATTCTCTTCATATTTAATCTCTTCATATATTTAATAGAAGAGAACCCTAATCTAGATTCGCCCAAAGATGTTGAACCAACAAGTGACTATAATGACTTTTTTCAACAATTTAGGCAAAAGGATAAAATGCCTAGATTGGCTATGAAAGGTCATTTAGTCGGTTAAATATGACCTAATTGAAAACTTTTTCTACAGGTGCAAAAAAAACTTATTACGTATAAAATTTACCAATATATATAATACCATTTATTTCCAATGTAATATTGACTATCTATTATTATCGATTATCGTTATTCACTAATATTTAGATATAGGAATTTTTTTTCTGTGTTCTTTTTTCATCACTATATGCTAAGGTACTATATAATAAATTCATATAAAATATTAATTATTTTATCCTCACTTACATTTAAACCTTTAACATTAACTTGCGCCCTGTTTTTTTTTTATTATTTCAAAACGGGAAATTATATTCAAAAATGGGAAATTATAAATAGACGGTAAGACAATAGAGAAAAAAATCAAACTTTTGATAAAAATACCAATTTGGTTCATAACGTACCTCAAAGGCTTTTTGTACACATAAATCGTGTAACGAAACTTCACATGTTACGATCAATCGTTGTAACACAACTTGTAATAAAAGTCATGCGCTCTTGTCTTAAATAATCTTCGTATATGATCCTTTTATCAAATTTTTTTTTACTCTTTGGTTTATTTACTAATCCAAGTCCATCCCAAATATAATAGCAAATAGAATGGTTGAAGAATTTCATGGTTATGCCGCTTTCGACAAAGAAAGCGAGTTGAAACCTTATTCTTATACTCCAAAGCCATTAGGCGATGAAGATCTTGAAGTTGGAATTTCACATTGTGGTATATGTGGTAAATATTAATAAAAACATAAGTTTAATATTTTTAATGTAATTATCTCACTAAATTGAAATCTAATTAGACGAACCGTGGAACAGGTAGTGACTTACATACGATGAGATCGGGTTGGCGTCCAACTTTATATCCAGGTAATCTTGTTTTGAATTCTTGAATCGATGATTTTTTTGTTTTTTTTTTAATGATATAATTTATTGATTTATATCAATTATTAAATGATTATAGCCATTCTCGGTCATGAAATTGTCGGTAATATCTTGAAGAAGGGTTCTAAAGTTTCTAACTTCAATATCGGAGATCGTGTCGGTATCAGTTGTCAAGTCCATTCATGCGGAGAATGTGTTGAGGTAAAATAACGATAAATAAATAAATAAATAAATATATAATATATATGTATACTTAAAGACTGTTAATTTTGGATCTTGATTTCTAATTTCATATTATAGTGTACTACAGGTTATGATCAATTATGTGCAAAAAGGGTGTTTACTTACAATGACATGTGGAAAGACGCCGAAGGTGTTCCTACAAAATATCAATCTCAAGGTGGTTACTCAGATAAAATTCGTGCACATTCCAGATTCGTTTTCCATATTCCGGAAGAAATTAGTTCTGCCGAAGCTTGCCCGTTACTTTGTGCAGGCTTATCTACCTTTGCTCCATTAAAACGTCACAAGGTTGGTCCTGGAAATAAAGTTGGTATCTCCGGTATTGGTGGTTTAGGTCATATGGCAATTCAATGGGCTGCCAAAATGGGTGCTGAAGTTACTGCTATCTCACATAGGTAAATGTTTAACAAATTGAAATCTATTCAAATTATAACTTCTTTTAAAATATGTATACATGATTATTATTAGTAGTGAAAAACGTGATGAAGCAATCAAACTTGGTGCCACTCATTTTTTAAATATTTCGGATCCAATTGATGTTAAAAAATTTACTCATACACAGGATATAATCCTCTCAACTTCTTGTAACCCGCAAGCAGATTGGTCTAAATATATGAATCTCATCAAAAATCATGGAACTCTTATTTTGATTGGTCTTCCTGAAGCTCCACTCCAAATTCCTGTATTCGCTTTCATGAGATTTGTAAAAGTTGAAGGTTCATTAATTGGTGGATCCCAAGAAATTAAGGATATGCTTGCGTTCGCTGTAAAGCATAACGTTAGACCTTGGATTCAAAAAATTCCTATGAAAGATATTAATGAAGGAATCAAGATCGTTCGTAATGGAAAAGCTAAATACAGGGTTGTGTTGGAAAATTAATTCACAATTTTCCTATTAGATTTCCGAGGAAATTTTTTAATATTATATATAAAATTCTTTTTTTTTTTTTTTCTTAATAAGATATCATATGTAAACAGTATATATATATTATACGTATATTTTATATATAAATATATATCTTAGGTTGCAGGTTCTTTCTCTGCATATACATTTTAAGAAATTTGAATTTTTTAAAATATACATATAATTAAGAAAGTAAATAATATGATCATGCCTACTGTAAAGATCTTGTTCTTTACTTTTTTTTTTTTTTTTTTTGACTAATTACAAATCGTTAAAAAACAAACCACTCTCTGTCTTACTTAATTTCAATTCACAATTGCCAAAAGATTATAAATATATTCTCGAACTTTTTGTTTAAAAGGTCTTTTCTTTTTTAATAGATCCTTTAACTACTAATTAATTCTACTACGCGCTCATTAAAATAAGCTGTATATATTACTGTTGATTCAAAATATAAATTAATAACTATATAAATTATAATTATAAATTACAGTACTGAGTTCTAACCTCACTAAAATACGTTATAAACTATATTTATATATACACTCACCTACCGACCACCTGCCGATCATCACAATTGAGTTAAAAAAACGTAAACTATATAGTGTTTGTATGTATTCTAATAAATTCTTACACTTTCCATTTAACACGTCAAAATTTCATTCATTTGATTAAAAAAAATGCTGATCTTTTTGTGACCCCGAAAAAAAAAATTTTTCCCCAATAATGTTTAACGAAAAAAAATGTATTAAGTTTTTAAATCATTAAAACAAATATATACGTATTCGCAATTTTATTAATATTTAAACATACGTAGTGATAAATAATAACAAATAGAAATAATTTCGATTCTAATATTTAAAAACTGATAAGAAATTAGTTACAATGATTACCAGACTCCTTTATAGTTAATAAAAAAAACTATTAAACTTAAAATTTTTTATTAAATGTTATTAAACAATGTTTTGAATATTTAAAATGTTTGCTATTTATCATTACTGGTAATATTATCAGTGTGTATAATAATATAAATTTTTATTGATAAAACTACTTTGAAGGTTCTAATAAATTTTTTTTTTTTGTAAAATTTTAAATTTAAATTATATATATCTGGTTTAGTTTTAGCTTTTAAATATTAACCAGTAATATAACATAAATAATTTTGAACAATTTTACCTAATTTTGAACAAAAAAATAAATTAAAATTATTTGAAATTTATTAAAATAAAATTTGTAATTGTACATAGAATGTATAATATATAAGTATAGGTTTTATTAATTTTGTAATTTTATATTTGTTTTTTTTTTGATATTAAGATGAGGTCTTGCTCATATTTCTATTAGTAATTTTAGTTATACATATTTAATATACTATATTTTGAAATATACTAATATTGTAAACTACAAAATAAAAATTATATGCAAGAATTAAAGCTTAGACAGTTTTATTTGTAACCTAAACCTAGTAATTTTATACTTGTATATATAATAAGTTAATTATAACAATTTTTATAAATAAAAATTAAATTCTTATTTAAAGTTAGATAAATATAAATTTGAAATTAAGGTAAAGTATAATTTATATTAAAATTTTGCAAGAAATTTTTTTTATTAAAAATTTAAAAATAGTTTTATAATTGAAATTTTGAAAAATCAGTTAGTTTAATATTACTTATTTGTATATATTCTATATACAAATAATAATTATTTATCAAAATAATTTATATTATTTCTTAATGAAAATATAATTAGTATTTAAAAAATAAAACTGCATTTTTTTTATTAATTCTTTAGCCAAATTTTTTAAAAAATAAAAACATATAAAACATAAAAAATATATTAAAAAATAATACTTTAAGTTTTAAAAAAAATAACAAATATTAATTTTATATTTAGTAGTAGCAAAAAAATACAAAAAAAATTTTATTATATTAATTTAAAGTAATAAAAAATGTTAAAAATTTAATAATAATTATAATAAAAGATTTATTTTATAGTATTATAACACTATAGTGCTAAAGTATTGTGACTAATCAAAATTTAAAATTAGATGTAACATGTAACTCATTTTTTTGTATAATAAAAATAATAACTTAATTATATCTTAAAATTTTAATTAAAAAATTATTTTTTATATATTAATAAAAAAATTTTTTACAAAATTTTAGTATAAGCTATGTCTTGTCTAACTCTAACCTTAATTTTAATCTAATTTTAATTAAAAGTTTTATTTTTTATAGAAAAAATATTGTTTTAATTTATTTTTTTTTTTGATATTTAACTAGTCTCTTTTGGGCCTAGGGTTTTATTCAGTAAATTGGACATAAGGACTTGCGACCGAAGCCTCAAAGAAGTCACCTTTATATTAGAGAGTACAACTAGCCACACATACACTTTTGGTGTCTAATTTAAGTAGTCCACCAATGGTTCTACACTA